CAAATAAATGTCCCTAACACGCAAAGTATTGCATTCCAACAGATAGTCTCCGTTATGCATCTTCTGAAGTAGCTTCAAATAATTATGCTAGCCAATGAACAGCTTTGAGTGTATTTAAAGAAGATAACTATAATCCCTACGAGATTATATTACTACAGGAGCAGGACCTCAGACTACATTAAATTCACTTTTTCATCATCAGATTTAGTGATGAAGCCACACGTTTTATATAAATGGTAAGGTAAGTATGGTAGTACACAATAAATGTGGTGGACTAGATTTGATGTGGAAACCGCAAAACAGGAGGAGCACCCCTCGTCACAATTAGACCTCACAGCAAGTCATACTAAATATAAATTTAAACTATCAATACTTTTAGTCATATAATTGGATCTGAACAATGACTGGAATTTTAAAAGTTAACTCGAAAAATTGTACAATTTGACACTTTTTCGAGTATTTTTTTAGCCAGCAGGAAGAATGCTTATTGTTTAAGATCATTTAGGCTTGAGAACTTTTCAACCATGGGCAAGAACCATTTTCAAATTGATGAAATTGGACCAGATTGTAAAAATACCTTCATAATATTACCCAGTGGCTTTAAATCATAGCGTAGACAAAGTTTTCACATTTTTATGGAGATCTCGCAAGAAAACAGTCTATAACCTCAGGATCGACATTGTCTCAGATTATTTAGGATTGACGATACGTTTAGAAGTGTATTATTGTAATTGCTTTCTTTTATTTCTACCACTGCATAACGAAAGAAACTAACCAAAACTAACCTCTGAATGCTGAATTAGGCAATTCTAACCACCCGATCAAATGTGACCATCTAGGACAAACAATTAATCAAATCGATTTTTGCAGTGTCCTATTTTGTATGTTAGTTATTTTGAAGTGAAGAATGATTATTCAAAGAAATTATTACAGGGAAATCCCGATATTGGTGAAAGGTAACATTAAAAAACTGTAAAATAGTTGGTGTTGTTTACCTTATGAGACGTTATTTTTTGTAGACATCAGTACAATTATTAATAGGTTTAGATGCATTTATTTTATACATGAAGAGTTTACACTATTTAGGTATCAGTAAGGATATAGTAAATTATTTGGTGGATATTATTAATTATTATGTTTATTTGGAGCAGATGAAGGCTTTTAAGAGTTTGCTAGCTTAGGAGGCTTTGTTTTAAAAATGAGTACTATTGTAAGCAACGGCAATTTTGTTTAATAAGTGAAAAGTGTCCTCAAATAGCTGCATCTCCAGGCAGGTTAACGTTTTGTGAGTGTTGTATGGGAACATGCTTGGAAATTAAGTGTCGATATTTGTTAAACACAAATCATACTGTGGACATTGACGAGTATCTTAAATTTAAAAGTTCATGCCTTTTTAAAAATGATCATGTCTGAAAACAGATCTGTACCTGCTTATATACCGTTTGAGAGGGAGGAGCTAAAGGAGGGGGATGAACATTATCTCAAATGAGAGTAAGATCGGACAAGTGGACCCTCCATTTACCACTTGATCATAAAAATTTAAGCTGTACATATTTTTTTATAATTACTTATGATGAAAAATTGATCCTCCAAACGATTTTTAAAAATTTTGATTTTAACAATTTTTTTTTTATAACGAAAATTTTAAGCACTTTTAATTAAAAAATGGATTAAAAATCAACCGTAAGAGATAAATTTATGAAATTTTCAGCGTCCATGGTCAAATGTCTATACTTTAAGAATATATTAACGACTTAAAAATATTTGTTTATTTTCGTATTATTAACTAACTTTTAAGTTAACAAATGAAAATTTTACTGATTTATTGGTAAAAAAAAATCAAGTTTTTTTTATCGGTCATCGGTTCCTGAAGAAAATTTCGCTGCTCGTCAATAGTTTAAACAAAATGAATTTATTTATGACAGCGCGCCGGGCGCCGAGCGTCTCGAACTGTATTGAAGGTTTTATCAGTAATAATTTAAAATAGTAATACAAAATATTATTATAAAACAAATTTTATTATTATTTATGTTATTTTATTATAATTATTATTAATAAAATTATATTTCTTTTAACAATGTTATAAAGAATACTATCAATTTTTTTTATTTTTACCAAACAGCGTAAATTTAGAAAAAAATAATCAACTTTAAATTTTTAAAACTGTTATGGTCTATATTTATTTTTTCTATTATTATGTAATTAAAAAATTAGTTTTAATTATTATTTAAATATAATTTTGCCAATTTAGTTAATCATAAAAATGATTTTGATGTTGACGCTGATTGGACTTTTTTCGCTACATTTCATGGCAAAGGAGCGTGTGATGGCTTAGCAGGGAGTGTAAAAAGACAAGCTTATCGTGCTAATCTCCAACGTGATAAAAACAACCACATAACAACCACACTTTCCTTTTTTTCAGTGGGCCGAAAGTTCTTTTAAAAAAAATACCAACCACGATTCGAACGTTTAACTACAATAAAAAATACTCGCCAATTTCATTATTACAAGCCATTGGAAAATTTTGATTGTTAATATAATAATAATGATTGTTAATATTGCTTAAAAAAAATAAATTTCATTAATAATAATTATAATTAAATAACATAAATAGTAATAAAATTTATTTTATAATAACATTTTGTATTATTATTTTAAACTATCACTGATAGAACCTTCAATGCAGTTCGAGACGATCGGCAGCGCGGCGCGTCATTTTGTTTAAACTAATGACAAGCAGTGAAATTTTCTTCCGAAATCTTAAACTTGAATGTGTAAAGCATGTGACCGATAAAAAAAACATGATTTTTTTTACCAAGAAATCAGTTAAATTTTCATTTGTTAACTTAAAAGTTAAATAAACAATAAGAAAATTAACAAATAATTAAAGTATAGACATTTGACCATGGATGCTGAAAATTTCATAAATTTATCTCTTACAGTTGATTTTTAATCTATTTTTAATTAAAAATTGCTTAAAATCTTCATTATAAAGAAATGTTGTCAAAATCAAAATTCTAAAAAATCGTTTGAGGGATCAATTTTCCATCATAAGTACTTATAAAAAATATATATACATTATTTTTTTATGATCAAGTGGTAAATGGGGGGTCCACTTGAGGTGATTTTACTCATGACTGATTCCCATATTGGTGACAAGTACAGAGCTGAGTCGCGCTGAAGATTGGTTGCTTTTAGATTTCTGTAAATTCTCGGATTTGTCATTGGTAGAAGAATTGATTACATGCAAGAATTTTAATTTTATCGAAAAAAATTTATTGTCCGGTTTCGTGATTGTGTTCGCCAACTGCTGATGAGTCTGTTTGTCTTAGTCTTAAAGCTCTTTCATGTTCTTTGAGCCTAGTTGATATTTTTTGTCCGGTCTCTCCAATGTATTGTATGCCGCATTGACGGATCGAAGATGTTGAGACATTTTTGGAAAAAAATTGAGGTTATATCTTTTAAAAACTTTTGAAATGTTTAGTTAAGCTCTTATTAACCCAATAGGATAATTGGCGAAACGTCAGCACTTTCGATTTATCAACAACCGATGCAGGAGGGATACCAAACAAAGTTTTGTAAACTGATTATTGATTGATTAGGCAGTGCACATCCAAATCTGCAATATTTCGATTTTCTAATATGGTCGCCGAATGTATTCTTTAAACAAATAAATTTTGACATAAAAATTCAAAAGATGCTCTTCCGTGCCATGCTGAATGCCAGGGCTCTTGGGTACATTCTTCACCGATGAAATGGGAGCCGTTCTTCAAAAGAATGTTTAAATAAGTTAGAGTTACAATAAAATAGGGTTATGAGAACATTACTGTGATAGATATACTCTTATAAAGAGAATGTTGGACCAGTTAAACTGGGCAAAAGTCGGACAGTTCATTAGAAGAGCAAGTTTTTATTTTGGTTTATGGAATTGCACACTATCGCTAACCAGGCATCTCAAAAATTATAGTTGGAAAAAAGGTTAATTTATGAATATAACGAATATTCCAAGCAGCACTTCAATGTTTGTATGGTAAAAACTATAAATTTAAAGAAAACTCTATTTTATAGTGGTGTATTCAAGGAGAGACCTACGATGCATTTACTGCTATTGGTCCTAATAATAATAATAATAATAATAATAATAATAATAATAATAATAATATTGAAATAAATAAAATCTTGGTATTGCAATCGTATGTTCTGATTCAAAACAGATTTTTAAAAATAAAGTTATTTTTTTTAATAAAACAATTATTTTGTTTTTTGCTTCTAGCTTTTATTAAAAATGTGAGTATGCCACATGTTATATATGTTATAAATTTATATATGTTATAAATTTTGAAATGCACTGGTATCTGATTTGATTTCAGGTTTTCTTAGCCGTTTGTTTTTTTGAATATGCAAGAAGGTTCACGGTTTGAACGATTTCCACAACCACAAGACAAGTTATAGCCATTTTCACCTTTTATCTTATTTTATATCCTTAAAAGTAATATAGTATTACTACACTAAGAAAAACGAATGTGTTTATACAATACCATAAGCTATAAAGCTAGCAAAGACAAACCAAGCTAACAAAACCAAAATACACTCTAAAACCAAAAATTAGTAGGCTTTTATAGTTTAGAAAACACCTAAATATTCTCAACAGACACAAAACAAGACCATTTGCTAAAAAACAAACAGTTTTGCTTTATAAGCAAACGTTATTTACTTTGTTTGTTTGTCCTAGGACGCCATATCGAATTAGATTTGACAGGTCGTTGGATTTCTTAATTCGAAATAACGTCAGGTTAGGAAATATGGTAGTAAAGAAGTACCCTAACCTCAAAATTTTCAAAATACCAACAGATTATCGAACTTTCATTGTTTACACAACGTTTCAAGAAGATGGATCACGACCTACTATACATCAAGTGCAGACTAATAGCTCAAGACTATCGACTCAAATCAACTCGAGAACCATCGTTTCACCTTTATAATTGCTTTCAATTACTCACCACGTCGTCGAACAGGTCGTCGATCCTGGAATGGGCGTTTTTGCCCCTCTTCCCCCTGATGAGCACGTAAATGGTCGAAACGTCAGTGTCTCGGAGCAGTTTCTCGATGAGCACTTTGCCCATGAACCCGGTGCCGCCCGTGACCAGGACGTTTTTGTCCTTGTAAAACTCCCGAATCTCCGATTTGTCCATTTTCGAATGCTGCAACGAGACAAGAAATGACGCCGCCGCTGCTTTCGCGCGTTTTATCGAAACGTTTCGGAAGATATCGATCGGGCCATCTCCCGCGTATGGAACGCCGACCGTTCCGAGCGGAATATTAAACAAAAACAATTAGTCAATTATTTATAAACAGTTGCACATCGCGAATTCTGGGTCAGCATTGCTTACATACGAATCGGCTGGCAATGAAATACTAAAATTGACCCATTTTAGGTCGGCATATTTTAAAAAATTAGACTTTGGTTATAATTAAGGGGTGTAGAACATGCAAAATGAATTATTCTGCATTTTTGCATTTTTTCCAATAATTGAGAACTTACTGCATTTTATTGCCAAATAAAGGCCGGTCCTTCTCTAAGCAGTACGTGTGTATTAGTTTATATAATACAGGGTGTCCAGTATAAGATGATGTACAAGGTTTGAAACTATATATTAGTATAAAGTTGTTTTGAAGATTAAGTGCCAAATTTAAATTTTTTTTTCATTTTTTACTTTATTTCTAGCCGTAGGACATGGTAAATGAACAAATATATACATTTAAATATATAATATATAAATATATTTTTCTACTTCCGTCTGCAAAATACCTAATTACACACCTATCGAGCGTGCGGGAAACGTCTCTTTACCTTGTCCGTTTAGTTTTCCACGAAAATATTTCCCACGCTTTGAATTTTGACTTTTGTCAATTCTGACGGTCACATCAGTAAATGTATTCGTGTTATTTTGCGAAAATGTACCCAAAAACTAAAGGTCGTAGAAAAAGTATAGTATGCAACACGTTCGGTAAACTTTTTAACTCACTCGTTTATTAATAACGTTTATAAATAAACTCGTTTACCGCAGTTGTTGCATAATATACTATTTTTATTTTTAATTAATATGATAAATATTACGTTATTATAATGTTAAGTAGATAGTTGGCAATGACTCATCAATTAAAAACAAAAAAGCAAATGTGTCAAAAACTTACGGGACTGTCAATTTTTAATTATATTTTTATTCCCTATCCATTTGTTCTTGTGTGTTATTTCATTTTAACCAATTTTCTATAATAATGGCAGTGTATGAAAATTTTAAAAATATGATATTTTGGTATATTTTATACAATGCAATGAAAACGGCCACGAAGCTTCGGAATTATATTACTACAGGTAAGGTTTTTAAAGAAATTTGTTTTGTCTATATTAGATATACAGAAAGGCGACAATTGTTTGCAGATATAATTGCTTGTCTGAAAATAAATCTAGTTCGGCACATCCTATAAAATATTTGAAAGAGAATAGGGAGCAGTTAAAAAATGGTTTTAACAAGTAAAAAAAACAAACTACGCAACTGGATTCTAGGGAAAAAAATCCTATATGACCGTTTTTTGAACTCTTCCATAACTCAAAATCGATAGTTTTGGATTTCACCCTCTATCTCAAAAACCAAGAGAGACATGATAATTTTGTTGACGGCATATTTAATTTCACAAAATAAGTAGCAAAGTGTATCTTAAATCGGATCATTTCATATCAAAAAATAACCGAGATACCCCATAAATAACTGAAAATGAAACTCGAAGAAAAGAAGTGTATGTATATGCCAAAAAATAATCTAGCTTTGTTTCATTTTAAATCGATTCCATAACGTAGATACAGGGGAAAGAGAAAATGTCCATTTTTAAGAAACCACAATATTTTCCGTATTTTCCGGAACTGAAAAGTTAAAATTTTTAGGATATAGGTAAAGGAATCCGATGATGATAACAATGGAGTAAAAAAAAGACAAAATTAAGATTTCAGAATAGTTTATTGCGCATCAAGTTGACCATATCAGCGTATCCCAGATGATTCCGGGAGAAGTTAATAAAAAAGTCACCCTTGTCACCTATAGGAGTTGTGCTAAGGAAAATAGGAACAAACCTCCAGATGAAAATAAAGAAAATTTGGTCTTACAAAGCGTGGTTGAGATACCTCGTACATCTTTATGTCAGATTAGAGAGACAGCGTTGCTCGGTCAACATATTTTATTTTAATTTTTATGGATTTAAATTGACAAAACATAAATGTGTTTCGCATGGTTGAAAAACATTTTTAAAGAAGAGTTTTGAAAACGTGGAAATTCAATATGACGTCCATAAAACAAACAATAGTTAACTTCGGCCGTACTCGACATCGTAGGCCTAAATTTTCCTGACACCATTTCTTAGAAAGGCGGGGGATGTGCCTTGTCTTATTGATAAGAGATAAATGGAGATCAAAACATAGTCTCGGAAGACGACTCTCGTCCATTCTTAACAATTTTATGAGATAGGTGATTCAAGATTTAAAGGTTTGGTAAATTAAGTGTGTGGAATCTGTTTCAAGGCGACGTAAGGCACCTAAAGTTAATTTTGAAAGAGACAATAATCTTTTAAAAAGGTGGTCTGTATTCGCTCAAGCATGTGGGTATAACGTATGTCCCAAACTAAAAAACATCAGGAAAAAATAGTTACCAACGTTGTTTGGTATATTTTTTGCATTGGGACCCAAAATAAATATTAAAATAGGAAAAATGTTAAATGCAATAGTTATAGATGAGAGTAAAAGAAACAATTTAAATGTATTTTCGAATATACAGGGTGACTGATAATATGTGGGAAATCAAACTTACATATTTTTAAATGGAACACCCTCTATATTACGCCATTAACAAATGCTCCCTTTTATACTCAATAATCCCAATGTAGGGTTGTTATGGTGAATACCGAGTGTTTTCGGATTTGTGGGCATTTTTTCGTCAAAAAAAAACAATTTTTAATACCCTATATTTTTGTCGCCGTTTCCGGCAGCTGTAATTTTAATACGCCATCAATTTTATAAAGTAGCACAGTCATTTATCGCATACTTGTCTTCAAATTAGCTCGAATCGTTTATCCGGGGTAAGTCTAATGAACCATATTAATGTTCGGGAAAAATTGAACATCTTGTATATTATACTTCCATTAAAAATTCCTATTAATGCTATTTCAATTTTATTAAGCATTCCCTATACCTAAACATTTTTATGAACAAAATACTGAAAATTTTCTAACAGTGCCAGAATATCACAAAAGATTGAGAACAAAATAAATATTATCTGAATGTGAAAAGTCCACATAAAAACATTAACAATGCAATATCATTATTGCTGGTATTTAATATATAAACACTTACAAGTAAGAACAAAACTGTAAAATAAAAAGAAACTGTTTAAGTAAGTGTTACTTTATTTATTGCTGATACTAAAGACTTCAATATACGCTCTAACAAGGTCTTAAAACCATTGAGCAGTATTCGCTAGAATTTCATGAATAATACTTTGAAACTCTTCTCTTATCCTGTGTTTCATGTTCTCTTTTGTTGAGGGGGCAGTTTTATACACCTTTTATTTAACATATTCGCACCCCACAGAAAATATTTAGATCAGGAGATCTAGGTGGACACCTAATCAGACCACCTGTTACTATCAACCATTGAGGAAATAAATCATTTAAATACTTCGTAACTTGATGGGTGTAGTGTGTACGAGCTCATTTACGATAAAAATGCCCAATTTCGGACAAAAGAATGATGCTTTACAAAGAAAGGTCTTTGGTTCGGGTATTTTGTGTCTCATTGACTTTGTCTCTATAGACTTTCGTGGTTATGTTCTTGCCGAAAATTCGAGGTCTCTGATATAAGATCTTAGGACCTTCAGTAGAGATACGTTGATGGTCGTTACAAATCAATTTAAATTTCGGATTGCCACTGCTGTTGACGTGTTTGTTGATATTGTGCAATTTTGGTATTTACATTATGGCTGACTTAGACAAATATTCTTGAAATTTAGCCATAAGAATGGTACGCAAATACCTTAATTAAGGAATACAGTGTAATTTAAAATATTAGACCAGATTACATTATTGTGAAACTAGACAAAGATTTTCTATGAATTAATTTATGTACGAACAAGAGATAACCTATAAGGAAACATGTAGATGCATTTGTATGGTTTTAATTGATGTTTAAAATCTGAGTAAACGAGAATCAAAATCTCTTTTCTACTTCTAATAATTCGATACCATCATAATTCAGATATTTCCTTTTTTATTTTACCGGACTGGTCTTTCATTATGAAGCACTTAATTCAATGTAATTATGTAAATTTTTGAGCTTTTCGAAAGAAAATTGACGCTTCGCATAATATCATTAATATTTTTTATGCTCATGTCTCATAAGATTAAGCGTAAAAATATAAACAAATTAAAAATTTGAACAGCAAGGTGATTTTCAATATTTCCATTTTTAGTATTACGGCTTTTCTATACCAAAAGCGATTTAAGATAGTACTCTTTGTACACAGAAAATTGAAAGTGAACAGTTGAAAGCTTATGTTGCCATATAATAAAGCAAACAAATAACCGAACTGATATTACCCAAAACGCAATTTTGAACATCTTATCTGTCTGTCTGTTCATAGATATAAGAAAGTGACCAATTGCTTTTGAACGGATTATCCAAGGGTGGTCAGTAACATACAATGCAACAAGTTTATTACCTTACTTAATTTTATTAATTATTATTACCTTAATTAATAATAATAATCTTGTTGCATTCTATGTTAATGACCACCCTTGGATAATCCGTTCAAAAGCAATTGGTCACTTTCTTATAGCTATGAACAGACCATAATACCTTTCCTTTTACAATAGTTTTGCGAGTCCATGTTGTGTTGGTAAGAAATCTGTTATTTTATAAATATATTACTATACTTTTTTTTTTTTTTTGAAAATTTGTTTTATTTAAGGTCCCGAATATGTAAGTGTTAACTTTTAACTAAATTTCAAAAAGAGCAAAATGATTTTAGGAAAAATTCTTATGGAATTTGCCACAGGGGCACACAAAAATTTTTATATTTTTGGTGAATAATATAGTCTTTCTTTTAAAATGTCATTAAACCAATTTTTAATGATCTTGAGTCAAAGTAATTATAAA